GTCAAAAGCAGTAAAATTATAGACTAAGAAATCAAGTGCTATCAGAACTTCGGAGAATTTTTAAATCCTATGATTGGTCAAGAGAAAAGATTAAAGAAATATGCTTTTTTAAAGTAAATAAGTATATATTATGTGCATGGACTTCAAATGTTTAGCAACCCAGAACACTTGAAAACTAATTAACTTAATACTATAAAGAGTACTGAGAAAACAGACAAGATGTAAAACTAAGATAATATCACAAGATCTGTCATTCAAAAATGGAAAACCATTAATTAGAAATATCTGAAATATTGATATATATTTATAAAGAGCATAAAAGATAACAAATTTCGAAGCAAAACATCCAGTTATTCAAATTCTGAGCCACCGTCTGGTAGCTTTCTGAAGATCAGATAATCTGCTAAAAGCAAGGAACACTTAGTTTATCAAATATAGTATTAAGCTATGTGGTTGAAAGTGCAATTGTAGTGCACATTTAGTGATTATTTTGCAAAGAAGCTATTCTCAAATATAGGTGCAGGAATATAAAAAAGGAAAGAGGTTTGAGATCTGTAGTTTTTATAAATATCACTAGGTTCACATCAAATGTACACAAACTACATTAATGAAGCTAATGAACCAATAAAGAATTTAATCGTTTTCTATCTTGTATTCCACCTTGAGTTCACACTGATAGATCACAAGGTCTGTATAATCTGAATCTGTTCATGTGGCTCCACATGTAAGATGAGAACTCTAATAGGATAATCAACATGGTAAACTGAAGACCACAGAAAATAATGTCAGCAAATAATACATCTCTTTCAACTTTTCTAATTGAAAGATACCAGATTTCTCATTTTGTAGGATTTGTGATTGGTGATTAAAGTACTTTCAGCTATTCTAATTCAAAACCACATTTTTGTCTTTTCATTAACTGAAAATACTCTTGCATTTGTGATTGAAACTGCTTATTGCTGCTCTGAATTGTTGTTTTTAATGTTGTATTAGAGAGATTCAAGTGTTTTGGAACTTTTTTCTAATTAATAATTTTTAGTTTATAATAGTGAGTTTCAATGCCTTCTGGTATTTTGGCATTGGGTGTCCAGGGAAACAGCTTCAATAGTTTAAGGATAAATTATAAATTAGTAATAGTTGTCCCATAATGCTTTACTCCACTAATGGCAGACCAGCATGAAAATTAGTTCTAGCCCTACTAGATGGGAGAAAGCTTAGGCCACTCAACCCCCCAGAGTCAAGTATTGATTTACAATACACCCAGCTGAGAAAAATGAGGAGAGGTATTCCTCAGCACATCATGTTTCTTGCCTGATCAATGTATCTGAAGACAGGGCTCCATTTTCTACCACACTGAGAGCTGAACAATGTTTCTGCAGGTATTGTATGTACAGTCTAGAAGCATTTGTATAAATAAGCTTACAGTAAGAAACCAAAGTAGGAAACTTCCTTTTGTAAAAACCATTTCTCAGTGCACTTGAGCACAACAATGGAAGAGCACTACAAATAGATTAAGAATACCAAGTTATGAAAAACTAGTCTTAAGTATGTCAACAGTGAACGCTATCAGAGGAGAGATCAATGTAATTTGTAGGGTCATGGCTCTAAGGAATCGAAGGACATTTAAGTCTGAGGGAAACATGCACAGTTAAGAAGCTTAAAAATATTTGAGTTTCATTCATTGTGAGTCAAGGACAAATTGGGGACTTTATATCATAGGTGGAAATTACATCAAACAGATTTTAATTTGACTTTGAGAAAAAAGCCTATGAAAAGTGTAAATACAGAATAATTTTCATAACTTAGCAATTTTGAGTAGGAGTTGTTTTGTTAGACCCATTTATGTAGTTTTCCATATTTATTACTCTTAAAATTCCTTGTTCTCTCTATATTTAAAATTTCATCTGAAGGTATGAAAATGTCATGAAAATTTTTGTTCTCCCTTCCTCTCTTACTTTTCTTGCTCAGACTTTTTTTCCTTCTTGAAACCTTTTTGTCTTTCTGGCAAACCCATGGGAGACATGAGCCTAACATGGTCCTTAAGTGTGTCCTAGAGTGAGATGCAAGCTGCCTCTCTCCCTGACTGAGCCTTCCCAGGCAGCCAGGCTTGCTGGAAGCTGAGTGCTTTAGGAGTGTTTTGGGCTTGATGGCATCAAGCCTGGGTTTGCAGGTAATGTGGCTGTGAGGTTAGGCTTGCTGTGGCTCAGTGATGAGGGAATTCTTGGGTGAACTACATGTTGATCACAGAGGCTTGAAGCAAGCCAGCAAGTGCAAAGCAGTGCATGTATCTAAAATATTCCAAACCCCACGAAGGTCAAGATAAAAATTGTTACCACTGTAAAAGACAGTTAAAACCAGGTAAGAGTGCAAAGCAAAAGGCATTTTTTTCAGTGAGAACACCATGATGTGATGCATAACATGTGGCCAAAGAGCACGACTGATTGGCACCTTTAAGGGACTATCCCCTTAGTGACTGTGTCCCATAAGAGGAAAGGACCTCAGTGAAAAAGTGCAATATATTACATTATCAAATATTAAGATGTTTCTTTTGAAACATGAGCACATAGATTTACCAGCAACAGAATGAAATATTAAGATTCTGGTTTACTACCTAATTTTCTCAGGCTACATCTGTACTATATTTGACAGAGTACAGCCAAAACTGTATCTGTCAGAAGCTGCTGTTGTGGCAACATGAACCTGCCTGTACTTCCTCTTACAGGCAGTTCTTCTGGACTTGGGAGACAGTATGATTTCAAATCGCCAAACCTGCAAAGTCCATCTTGATTTACTTTTGGTTTTGTGCCCTGAACAGCAGACAGCCATGTTCATACTGCAGGTAAATGGGTTTACACAGCTGTGAAGTTTACCTTTTCAGAACAGCATCAAAGCCGTCCAAACCACATGAACCCTGCTGAAAGCAGGAAGAATGGATGGCTGTAGCTATTTTAGTCTCCAAACGCCTTTCAGAATCATCCTATTTATCCCACATGTAGTCCAATTGACCCAACTCTTAATTAGTTCAGACTTTCTTCCGCTGCCATTGCTGGTGTAAATGTCTTCAATTTCTAGATGGAGTGATTCTTCCCAGACTATGAGTGCTTAACACAGCAGCTCAGCACATGAAAGGAAACCAAGCCTAAGGGCTGCTGAGGTTAGTGGAGCCTGTGCTACTAGCAGTCATAATGAATCTGACTCTTATATGTGTCAAATGTCCTTGGCTAAGTTTTAGAGCTAAACTATAAATCATACTGTACTCTCCCCACTGCCATACATATCTAAAGTCTGTTTTCCATAATTCTTACAAAGAAACAAAGAAGTATCTTTGCCCTCATCAAAAAACCTTGCCCTTATTCAGAACGATTTTCTAGCTAGTTGCTTGGGCTCCATCATCCTGCTGTATAAATTCTCAGAAAGCAAATGACTGATTGCCTCTCAGAGGCCCTTCGCAGCCTTTCTTCATTATATTGAATTTAATTTTTAGATGTTAACACTGCTGTTTAAATTTTCAATTTCCATCAACACTGTAATTTTGAAAATTTCCAGTCACATTAAGGAGATACAAATATCTGAAAAGATCCCTCATTTTGCTTGTGCTTCTTTTAACATCTTAATTTTTCAAGACACCTTCCAAAACTCTTCAGTGGTGAGGCTGCTCATCTCCCAAGACTACTTCATCACCTTACAGGTCTTCTTTCCCTCTGTGAAATCTGAGCATTTTTCCTTATACTTAGGTTGTAGGATGGTTGGAGAAGCAATTTCCTCCCTCTCTGTGTTTGAACATCACATTCAGATTGTGATCCTACGTTCCATGTCTGAGCTCCTTCCTACTATAGACATCCAAAAGTACCCATATGCCATTCCAAGGCAACCTGGAATGCTGGCCACAAATAGAAATAAAACAATTTGCAGGTAAGAATTCTGGGTGTTAAGAAGTGTTAAAATTCAAGAGTGTGCACTTCACATGAGCAATATGAAGGAATGGGCTCAGAACTGAGTCTGGCACAGGCAGAGAACAGGAGGTTTTTTTAAAAAAAGTTCCTGAAACTTCCAGAAGTAAAATACACCTTACAACACTGCAATACAAATACTACTTCAGCAAAGCCACTTGAATTAAAAGTATTATTCAGAGAAGCACAGACTGCAGACCTCTAAAGAACAGCAGCTTACTTTGTGGACTTCATAATACTGTTAATCACAGTTGCACTGCCCTCAGCCATTATTTAGCCATCTTCACAATCTTTTCTCACATGAAAGAGAGAAAATGGCTCATATTTCCTATCTGAAACTTATCTGAACAGACAGCTAAAGGCTTGAGCCATCCTTTTCCAAAGTGCTAAGTAATCAAGAATTCACACAAAAGTCAGTATAAAATTCTTGTCACTCTGTATAGAGGCATTGTATTTTTTGCCTCAGCACTAAGATACAGACTTAAATATATAAGCTTAGACATATCGTATGCAATTTCAGCCTTACATCACAGTCAATCTTTCTTTAATCACAGAAGGAAAAAAAATCTATCCCAAAACTGACCAGATTCCTGCATTTCAGAATTCTGAAAAGCATATAATTCTGAGAAATAAACATCACCGCTGAGACTTGCAGATAAACATGTACAAGGCAGTCAAAGGAAAAGGGAGTGAAAATTTTGAATAAAACACTATTAGACAGATAAATAGAGCTTATTGTCCTAAAGACAGATTGTTTTGGAACAAAGAAATATCTTTTAAAAATAAAATTTGATGTTTACTACTCCCCTGCACTTAAAAAAATTGATTAATTTGCATTTCCTCAGCCCTTATTTTTTTCTTCTTCTCCCAAAACTCATTGTTATTGTCTAGGAATTAGGCATGCAGACATAAGAGAGTGGGTATTGTATCAGCTACTTTACTTTCTCTTGCTAGCACGTCTCACAATTTATCCTTCCCTACTCTCGGGCAGTAAGCATTTTTGCTTCTCCCAGCAGAACTATTAAATATTATTTAGTGCTGGTTCAGTAGTAGTCTGAACTTAGACTTCACAGACGTACAGAAACCTGCTTGAGGGGAAAGCAGAGGGCAAGTGTGAGGTCAAGGCCCACAAGTGCCAGACTCGCAGCAGGCTGTGCAGCAGCTGGACAGCGCCTAACCCACAGCAAAACCACCAGCTGCGCTGGCTGACGGAGCAGGCCGGCTCTCGCCAGGCCGCAGGCACACAGCTCCCATCGCTGTGAGAATCCTCGGCACTGGCGCTGTGTGCAGCATTCATGGGCTCTATAAAAACTCTCCTCAGACTGTGTGTGCCTGTCTAAGCTGCTGGGCACGGGCAGCTCATTGCAGGGGTGCCCTCGGCGGGCGCTCTGTGGGCACAGCGCACGGGACAATGGTTCTCTCCAGGCCGGACTGTTTGAATAACAGTAATCTTCAACCGGATTTCTATTTAAAATGTGCCCGTACTAATTAAGACTTTATTTCCTCGTCTCCTTGCACATCTATATTGGTAAAGCTGAAAACTTCTGTCTATGTCCCACACATGAAATACAATAGTTCAGAGCAGGTACACTCCTCATACCACATGATGCAGCACTACACCTACATTAGCTTGTCCAAATTTTCTAATTTATATTTCTATTAAAAATATAGGTTTATAATTTTATATATTTAATATAGACTTCATGTATTTTATAATTTATACTCTTTTTTTTTTTTGCCCTTGGTGCATAACTGTTCCTTATTAGAAATGAACAGGCTGGTGACAGCCTCCACCCAGCACTCTGAGGATGTGGTTTTGTATTACAGGCTCATAAAGGCTGAGGCAGGAACGTACCCTTGGAGATCAGCTGTTGTGTTAGAATAAAGATATTTTGCAAAATTTTCCCAGGTACGTAGCTCAGGTGAGTGGAAATTCTGCTTCAATAAAATGTTGCAGGCAATTTTATATTTGCCAGCAAAAAGCAGACAGCAATATCCTGAAATAATATCTGGCAAGCTTTCTTAATCTGGCTGTGCCTAGGAAACATAATTTTTTGTAACTCCACAGTTCTAGAAACAGTACTATAGAGTATACTATTTTTCAGCATATTTTAAGTGTATTCCATACGTGCTTTTTGTCTCTGACCCTATATATAAATATCATACTCATCATTCACTAAACAAAACCAATTTAGTCTATCTTTAAATACTAAAGAATTTTTAATGATTTATACATACTGGTTTCTATGCAAATATTCAGAATTATTAAAACATATATAATTGTTTCAACCAAGTCCAGTTTGGTATCTCATTTTGCAAGATGTTTTCTAAATTGGTTTTGCATTTCCTGGAAGTACTTATTAACAATCTTCTACACTACAATTGAGATTTTTTAATTAGTATTAATCTCTCTGAAGGTGTGTCCCTCCATAACATAGAGTTTAATGGAAGAAAAGGAAGATATACATTTCAGGGGTTTTTTTCCAGCTATAAACTGTTCTTAAAGGACAATCAAGACAGTATTGTACTCCTTCCTTTGCAATTGTTAATTCATATGTTGCAACATTTTGTACCTATCAATTAACATGTTATATTAGTCTGTGGGTTTATTTAGCTTATTCTAAAACCATATTCTAAAAAAAATCTGCTCAGTAAAATTTAATTATCTCTTGTTAGATAACCATATACATTTTCCATTATATATATTTATATGGACAATATTTATTTTGTTTGCTCCATAGCTTAGAAGCCAACAGATTAATCAGTGGTAAGAAATACTGCTGGATCTGCGGACACAATCCCCTGTTTTTCTAAAAAGAGCTGATCCTGATGCAACTTTCAGTCATTTTGGTTCATAGGTTCCCAAGGAGTTTGGGAACATGTCTCGAGAGTCACCTCCCATCAGCAGTACCCTCCTGACAGGGTGCAAACAGCTGCTGGTCTGGTAAACACCAGACCCTTACAGGGTATCCCAATGCCAGTTAGTCCTGGTCTTAGACTGAGCCAAAATGAGTAAGAAAAAATACATTGTAATACATAGATCATTTTTCTTGGAGTAAAAATTTTTCTTTCAGATAAAATGCTTCATTATTTCAGAAGCAATTGTAATATTTTGTTCTGAGGCAATATGAAGTTATGAAAACATAATAATAAAGGGTCATCCTTTCTGGTTTATCCCCCCAGTGTTTGTAAAGAGAAAATAAATTGAACTGAAGGCAAAAATACTCAGATACAAGGTTTCTAGATTACATTGGATCACTATGTACCCAGTATGGGGTTTTGAACAGTTCTCTGTCTCTATCCATCACTGCACATTTCAAATAATATATATGTATGGCATTATTTAGGTTTCATTTTAGAAAATAAATGTGTCAGACTGGGTTTCTCAGCTGTGAAAATTACTGAATATGAACATTAAAAATAGAACTTTGAAATGGCGCTGGTACACTCACTTTATTTAATCAGATTCTGAAGTGTCCTAGTTCTTTCTATAAAGAACACTATCAATTTAAAAATATTTTTAATTAAATGTGTACTATTCTCCAGACAGTATGGAAAATTGATCAGATTTGCAAATATCTTTTTTCTACCCCCTGTATTCACACACTTGCTATGGTTCACTAGTAAAGACTATGTAATTTTAAAAAAACACTAATAAATTAAGTAACTTTTTAGGACCCATTTTCTGCTTTTTCTTGATATGTTTGAAGCATTTCAGAGTGCATACACCATAGGATAAATATTTTCAGGGGATGCTTATATGCTTTTAGGCAATCCTAGTGAAGATAGCTTTTAGCAGGTCCATTTTGGACCCTATATAATTTATTGTACATTGTCTGTTGTATCTCAGATATCTACTTCTTTTTGTAGACTCACAGAAAAACTGGTTTGGAAAAAAGAGATCAGAGGCCCCCTAGTTCATCAAGCTGCCCAAGGCAAGATTTCTATACCTATTTCCCAGCAGATGTTTCAGCTAACCTCTTCCTACAGACCTCCAGGACAAATTTCACAAATTCTTCTGACATTCTATTGCAGCTCTGCACTATCTGCTCTAGTAAAATGTTTGTTCTCATATCTCATCTGGGTGAGCCCATTTCTTCAATCTTCACTTCCTGTCCCACCCACTCTGGACTCAGAGAACAAAAAATCATCTTCAGCATTCAGCTTGTAATGATCCACCAGCCACTTCACTTCTGTATTCATGTGTGGACTTACTCCAGGGATCCTGCAAAGCTCCTTAAAGAGCCTTGCTGGGACATTCCTAAGAGGAGCACCTATCATCTGCATTCAGAAATACCTCCATAACAATTTCCTCTCAACAAATAAATTCAACAAGAATTTTAAACAGACAAGTTAAACACTTAAAATCAAGAAAATGAAGGCTCTCTTTCTGGAGGAAACATTTGGTAACAGTACTGTAGCTGCTACTTAGATTTGTCCTCTTTGACCAATGCCATTATTAAATAGAGTTAATAAAAAATTGAATCACACAAACCTCTGCATTTACTCCTAAATTTTTATTTTTGACCTTGACAGTATCTGATTTTTTGTTTGGTTTTGCTTTGCTTTACCAGGAGGATTATTATCAGTTTCTTCTCTGTGTTATTAAGTAATTTTAAAAAGCCAATTCTAGAAGCCAATTAGAGAGTGTCTTGAAAGAATATGAGAAAGATGAAGATCAGTCTGTATGTTTACAAGGTACTGATATAAATTACAAAGGTAGAGGGAATTAGGAGGGATAGATCTTGGAAGCTCAAATTGAGCTGGATGTTTCTAAGACTAAAAATATAGGGGTTTTGTCCTTTTCTCAGAGACTTGTGGGAAAAAAGGGAAATTAATAGAAAGTGGGATGGAAACACTTTAAAATGGAGAACTGGAAGGATGGTTAGAGATCCACTAGATACTGCTGAGACAGAAAGCAATGGAAGCTTGCGTTCTGAAAATGCAATGTAATGAGAATTTCACAGCGGAAAGAGGAAGGAGAGAGAGAACTTCTGGAGCTGATAAATTACAATAAATAGCAGGGTGGATGAATCAGAATTGTGGATTTTCAAGTGATATTTAATATGGCAGGGAAGGTTTCTACCCAGATTTTTTTAACAAGTGCAAAATAAAATCGATTTTCTTTCTTTAGAGTTAAACAGAATTTCAGAAGAGCACATAAGGGGACCTGAAACTATCACACACTGTTGAAAACAATGACTCAATAATCAGTAAAAGACAGCAATCCTAAAAACACTGAACACCCATGTATTTAGTAAAACATCACAGTGATCCTATCAACAAATATTACTAATATTGAATAAAAAGAGATCAGTATATTTTACAGAAGCTGGACTAACCCCAGTATGGAAAGAGTGATGATTTCCATGTCCACATTTGCTATTTAATTAATTTCTTCACTCATACCAAATTTTCAGTTGTGTCCATCCTAAGTCTATGCGTTTTTTATGGATAGAAATCTACAAAGAATAAACCTACAACTAGAAAAATAGAAGTAACATGCCAGAACTATTGAGCTTTGAGAAAAAACACCTAGAGAATTTGCATGATATTCCCCATCCCCCTACATTATTATGTTCAGTCAGAAATATCAGATGCAGATTTAATGGCTCAAATTTACTCAAAGGTTCTTTTTCTCCCACATTTTAGAATATTTCAGCTTTAGGATTTTTTTTTCTCTCATAGCAATGTGATCTCTTAAGTGCTCTAAAGTATTATGCTAAAAAAAGCCTAATGGTATTCCTTCTCTAGTATGTCATACTGTCTCCATAACACTGATTGTCTCAGTTTAGAAGTGTGAATAAATATTGTTCAATTTTTAATTTGGTTTTTCTTCTGCTGTAGTCATTTTGGCACCAACAGACAGTCTACAGGTCAAATACAGGACTCTTGAGGAATCCCACTGCCTCCCACCTACATAAGCTGTTATCAATGGAGAAAAAGAAGGCAGAATGTGTTTCTGTTACCGGAAAACAATCCACAATTCTCTTTATGTGATGTAGTCCAAAAGACCCAATATGTTTTCCCACAGATGAGAGAGTTCAGAAAATGAATAAAATTAAGGAAAATACATTAATCCATAACAGTGTCCTAGTTCTAAATGCACACAGGAAAATGAGATCAAGATTTCTGCCTCTTTTCAAAATAATTTGCAAAGTACCCATTTCTCCTGATTATTAACAGACTATTTCTCATAACTAAGGGCAGAAGAACACTCACACTTAATCTTAGTTCTTCAATTTCAGACAGCCAAAAATGATAGAGAAGAATTTATGAAGTATAACTTAAGGGACAAAATTCAATGCTAAGCTCTGTGGGTTTGCCCCTTAAATATGCCGTGTTCTGTCATGAATGTACAAAACTCTGGAATTAGAACTCACATGCTGGAAGGATGCAGTGCAATGTGGATAGCAGCAGCACTGCCATCCTTAGAAGTCAACAACCAGTTGTCCTTTAGACAGGTTGGCACTGGGTAGTGCATATTCATAAATACTGTGAAGGTTTTCTAGCTCAAGGCCATCTTAATTTTAAGAATAAAAGAACCTGTAATTGCTTCTAGTTCCTCAGCTGTTGATGATTGCAACTTCTGAAACTTCAAAGCAAGTTTAGGCTTTTATATGACAATTTCAACAAAGATTTCAGTGATCAATAATAAACTACCCCTGCCCCTATATATTGTTTCAAACAGCTGATAGGATAAATGTTTTCTTGATATACATTTATCTATATAATTCTTCTGGAAGTCATCACAGACTTTTAAAATTCTTTATTTTTGGTACAGATGGTATGCAAATTGCTGCTGTTTGCCTAGAATTTCATTAGAAGTTTTCTGATTAGACTATGCCTCATGCAAGCTCTTAATTCCCCTAATTCACTGTCCCGCTCCCCTTGATACATCCTTCAAAATAATGAAAACTTTGACAAACTGAAGACAACCAGTTTAAAGCTGCTTGTCTCTAACTTGCTTCCCTGTGTCTAAATACTTCAGCAAATATTCAAGATCACACAAACCAGGCTGAACAGAATAGAGTATCAGAGTGTCAGTCTTGACAGCAATCCTGTTATTGTTTTGCATTAGATTTCAGAGTAATTTTTAGCACAGCCTTTTTTCTTTTGTATTTGACATCAACACATTGGTCAGGCATAAAAAAACACAATAAACATGGTAGGTGCAGTTCAAAAATGCAACACTAACATCAGCCAATATAGCTCAGGAGTCTGACACCATAACCACAAAGTAAGCATTTCTGGGAAAAATATAGTTGAAGAGGTTTTCAATAGTGACAGAAAACACCAACCCATTATTAAATACTGCTGAGTGAGTAACTACAGCTTTCTCAAAGTGGTGCTGAACAAACAGCCCAATCCCAGGTAAATTAGTACAGTGGGATTCCTTCAAGCACATACCTCAGACAAGCAGCAGAGAAGAAATCCATTTGAGAAAAGGCGCTGAAAGAGCTTGAAGTCCACCTGGCAAATTTCTTGTGCTGTTTGAAAAAGCAAGACGGTTCAGGTTATGAACCGAGCCATATCTACAGCATTAGAACCAGTATGGTCAGTATGAAAATCAAAGTAAGAGCTGCTAGCAGTGCACCTCACCAGAAAGAATAAGGGCAGAGGGAGAGAGAGAAAAGAGAGGGCTGCCTTTCTTCCTTTGGTAAAACATTTGTATGAAGCATTTAGCCTTTAAGCAGAGCTTCTTTATGGGAAAGAAAACTGTACAATACTGCAGTGCTTGCTTTACACTTTAATACGTCTTCCACGAGAAGAAACAACCCGACCTCTGTTATCTTCCAAAGAGTTCAGGGGAAAATATGTACTAATAATTAAAACAAAATGATCCCCCAGCAAAAAAGGCAAACACCCAAAAATACAAGACCACTGAAATACATCTTGTAACAAAATGCTGAAATGCCAAAAAAGAACTGTCTGCAGCTTGAAGAACATTTTTTAAAGCCAAAAAGCACAAATTTCTCCTTAATTGTATGCTTAACAATAACTATAAAGCAAGCATTCAAAAGAAAAAAAAAAAAAAAAAAGGCAGGGGGGCTGGGGTGGGGGATCCATGCTGCCTGCTCACATAAATGCACTAAGGTCTAGGATTTACCATCCTCCTGGCTTACCTGATAAAACTGGAATTTCAAAAGCATTATGCAAAAAAAAGCCCCCCCCCAAAAAAAACCAAAAAAAAAACCACCAAGAGCTAGTGATGATGAAATGCTTGAAATGCTAATAAAGCTGGTTAGATTCTCAGTTCCAAAAGATTACAAAGTGCTTATAAATTGCTGCATTCTCATCGAGAAGGGGAAAAAAAAAAAAGACCTCTGCAGTATCCTCTCTGCTTTGTTCTCGGCTTCCTGTTCGGAGGCTCACTCTGTGGTACCTAATACAAATCAGCAACTAGCAGGGGGGAAAAAAAAAGGAAGGGGGAAGGGAGGAGGTTAAAAAGAGACAGAGAGGAGGGTAAAGATAGAAAGAAAGGGGAAAAAAAAGATACTAAGCCATCACCTTAAAGGACAGCCCCATCTATCGGCAAAAGCAAAGAATGGGCTGTAAAAGACAGCTTTTTTTGAGATTTCCTGACCCGAACGAGACTGAAAACCTGCAACCCCGTTTCCCTTCAGGGAGGAACAAAGGGCAGGGATAGTGCTGAGAAGTAGATTTCTTTATCCAGTGTTAAATGAGCTAAAGTTTTCAGTAATTTTAATTTCTTTTCAGTTAATTACTTGTCTCTGAAACATGTGAAGGGAATATTGTTAGTATGAGCCCTGACGAAAGCACCAGAAACCTTTCCAGGTCAGCCTCTGACACATCACAGCTAAATGCCACCTGTCCTCTCTGGTTTTACACCTGCCCGCTGAGCAGTGCTGCTGGGCTGAGCCTCAGCAGGCGTGGGCTCAGTCACCAAGAACAGGCTTCCTGTGCCCGAGTGCCGTGTCCATCTATTACAGCCCGCACTGCCAACCACACCGCCTGCTACACCACTGCCACGTCAGCTCTGCACATTCCCCTGGATTCAGATGGCAGCTGTGCAGCCAAATCTGGAACCTAGACAAAAAAAGGCTCCTTTTTAAAATTCAGACTGCTAAGTAACAGTAATGGTAACTGCTAACACAATGAACCCCATCTGCATTGGATCACTGCAGCTGGAGCTGAATCAGACAGCATTCTGTACTTCTCATCTTGCTTTACTCACCAATAAAAATAAAAGTGGGGATGGCCACGAGAGAACACTTGTGAAAGCCCCAGTAACTGCCATGCTGGAGGGGGTGGGTACAGAGTGGTAGGAAAGGAAAAGGGGAGGCAGTGACTGCAAAGGTGAGAGGCACATGGAAGGAGGGCTAAAAATAACATTGTATTTCTTTCATTGTTCATTCAATACCATTTCTGCATGTAAAGACAGAAGAATATTAATCGAATTAATACCTGTATGCAGTGAGGTATATCTGTGATATAACAGACACTTAATGTTAACCTCTGATTCAGTGA